GGATCACTAACACAGTAACACAGAATTTTGAGATAGGTTTTTGCTAAATGTCATGACCTGAGAAAAGACACCTTTTATTGCCGTCACATGTCTTGCTAACTAATAAGATTCTTGTAACAATCTTGACCTGAGGGCAGGAAATACATACAAATAAATCAGAATTATTTTATTTCTTTCATATTCACTGTGTTAAAAAGGAGAGCATGGTAGGTGTCTGCTGGCATGTGTATATATATAAAGCAAACATACAGTCTAGCAATAAGAAACTGAACTTTGAAGCCACAGAGAAATAGTACTGGATAATCTCACTCTTATTGCCTATTGCAATCATCCTCATTATTATGTGCTGGTGATATTAATTTCTAAATTACCAACCCTTTCATCAATCATATTTGTTCACAATACTGTGTAATACGTGGTGATTCCATGTATTTCAAATGCGCCTTCCATTACACCTACATCTTGTTCTTTGAACTCTCCTTTACCTTGTTACTTTGTCCATGTGTCCTGATCTTAGCCATGTCGATGACACTGTTTAAGATCCCCCATAGTCTCTATTGACTCGGTCTCCCCTTGTACGCTCAGCCTGTTCTTCCTTCCCTCCAGCACTTATGTCTGTTGACCATTCTTTTCTACTGAGCTTCTATCCTTGTTTCACTCATCCATTGTTTCAACAAATACTTACTGACTGCTAATGTGCCATACTTTGTCCTAAGTACTAGAGATAGAAAGCTTCTGCCTTCCATGTTGTTAATTGTAGTCTATTTCAGTCAGTGATAACAGGACCTACTAAGTCATTAAACTTTTTAGAATTGCTTTGTATTATTATGAGAGGGGTGGGGGTTTTTAAAACAATGGAAGTAAAGCTATCAAATGAATGTCTGGGGATAATGCACTCCATGAGAAAAGAGCAGCAAGTGCAAAGTATTTGAAATAGAAAGGCATGGTATGTTTAAGCGGTAAGAGAGACAAAGGAAATATGGCTCGAATGGAAAAGGGAAGAAGAGGAGAAAGGGGTGGGGGATGAGGTGTGAGATGACAGAAGCCACCGGAGAACAAGACATGTAGGCATTTGTAAGTCCCTATAAGGGTCATTGTAAATGTGCTGGCCACTTTGTAACAGAATGCCATGATAAAGCTGGCATTCCAGTTGGATTCTTTTGGTTACTACATTAAGATAGATTATAGTAGACATAACAGATAGAAGCAGTAACTCTTTGTTAGAGGCCGTTGCAATTCATGGGAGATCTAGAGTGGCTCGTGTTCCGTCTCTAGTGTTGGTGGCTTAGTCACGGTCCTAATAAACTTGTGGCAGTGAGTTGAGAAATTCTGAGAATGCTTTAGTAGTAAAGCCGGTAGAATCCGTAGAGAAAATAAAGGGGAAAAATGTGAACCTCAACCATTATGCTGTGGGTTGTAGCTGGAGCAGTTGCTATGGGATAGATCTTGAAATATGGATGATAATTAAGCAATAGACACAGGAGCCTGGACTTCAGGAGAGAAAAACCCAAATCTGACACTCGTACTGTGGTGATTCTCTTTACTACTGTTGACCAGTTTCTCCTCAGGTCTGGCAGGTGGACACTGGGAGCCTTTTGAAAACGCCTGGGTTAATGTATTCTCTGGAGCCTTGCTAGATCCCTCCTCTGAAGCACCTCCCACCAGACAAGTTTCTATTCATGAGGCAGCTTCCTCCCCCTTCTTTGGTTGGTGCTGACACTCATTTTGAATGCAGTCCACCCCAGCTCACCTGGATAAAGCAACTCCTGGCTGGTGGTCTCAGATGCCTTTCTCTAACTTTTGCTATCCATGTTCTTGGGTGCATAGGATACTGCCTAACAAATGTTGGAGGATCAATAGATATTACTTTCTTGTTTGCCATTTGCTGATTAATGAAACATAAATTTGTGAATTGTATATGTGAGGTAATAAAAATGACATGTTAATATTTTTCAAATAACCACCAAATATTATGCTGGACAGTTCACTGGGTACGATGCTTACTGTGTAAGCATGAAGGACTGATTTTGGATCAACAGTAGACATGTAAAAACTAGTGTAGTAACCCCAGCTTGAGCAGGGTTGGGGACTGGCAGAAAGCTGTGGATCTCCGTAGCTCCTTGGCCAGACAGTTATGGGTTCAGCATGAAACCCTGACTCAGAAAACAATGTGGAAGGGCCGGTGAGGTTTTCCAGCAGTTACAGTACTTACTCTTTGAAAAGACCCAGTTCCTACATGGTGACTTACAACTATCCCAACTCCAGTTCAGGGGATTCAACACCTGACCTCTGTGGGTACCAGACATGCCTTTGGAGCGCATGTAGACATGCAGGATGAATGTATGTATGTATGTATGTATGTATGTATGTATATTATACATTATATATTATGTATTATATTTATCATATATATGTATATGATAAATAAATAAATCTTTAGAAGATTAAAAAATAAATAAAAAGTGGAAAATGATTAAGGAAAACACCTGACATCACCTGTAGCCTCTATGTGCTTGTCCATATGTACGCAGGAATACCTGCCCACACATCCACAACACACACATACAGACACTGACACACGCACAACATACACACACACACACACACACACACAGAGAGACAAACACACACACACACACACACACACACAGACTTCAGGTGTTTTTAATCTACAAATAATTGAAAGACCTTTCCATTTAGGGAAGCACAGTTGTATAGGAATTCGATTGTGTTAACTCAGCCTGCATGTTATCTTTTTGCCACTGTTTTCTTACCATTAGTTTTTTTCTCTGAGTTCTTACATCCTTAGCTCCCTCAGTAAGTCCCCATGGGCTACTCCATTGCAAACACTGCTATTGCCTGTGGTTTATGGTCTCTGGATAGAGGGGCATACATGTCTATCAACGGTTCTCACAAAACATGGCTGGTAATGTTAAAAGTAAGTGCATGGGGCTTTGGAGGCCCCAAATGAAGGTGTTCCCACAGGCCACATATGGCCTGTTGTAGACTAAACTGCCTGCCCCTGTTGACATTGTCATGGAGACCTTCATCTGACCTTGTGAATCTTATAAACTCCTGGGTAGCATCTGCTCCCCATCTCAACATCAAGTCCCATTCAGAGCTAGAACAGAACTTCGGAAGCAATCCAATGATGACCCCGCATCCCCACCTGCAGCCTGCAGCAGTCCTCTGGGGTTTTTAATCAGCCTTGCTAAATACTTCCTGTAGGGAAAATGGGTAGTGATGAGGAGTAATCTTGCCGCTGCTTCTGAAAAATTCAGGGACTGATTTACAGATATTACTTATTCATCATGCTGTCCCGTTGCAGAAGATGGGAATTAAATTCCAGCCTTAAAGGTTATAGGATCCCCCAAGGCCTAGAGTGTATTAATGAAAAGTTGAGGACCTGACAAAGATTCAAGAATCTACACAGTGAATAATCTTTCATGAGGCCTGGATTCTGGTGTGAATTTAGACACAGGGTGGGAATATGACAATGCATTTCTCTTCAATTTAAAATAAACTGACTTTTGTATTCCTGGGGTCATAAGTAGTCCTAACTCGGCTGAAGTGGGGTTGCCGTCCCTGTGAGAAATATAATGCACAAATAGAGTCTGTTTACCTAGCTCCTTCCCAACGGAAGCTGACTGTCTCACAAGTTGGATTGCTTACAGTGAGCCCCCACTTTCCCCAAAAGATGAACCCATACCTTCAGGATTCCTCTGTAGTTCTAACGATACCTGTTCCCTATGTTTCCCTGAGCCACAAAGCTGTTAGCGCTATAGAGGGCTCACTCTAAAGATACTGCTGGGTACTGCTGGGATGTGTGCTTTGTCTGTATTAACTCCTCAAACTATGACGTGAAGCATCTTATCCAAATTTAAATCCCCATTCTTCCAACACTGATAAGGTCGGAAATAGGGAGCGCCTGCCAGATTTCTTCATTCTTCTTTGCAATTTACATTTTGATGTTGTGATAGAATCCCACTATTCCAGTATTATTTTTATATCCCCACCAAAGCATCTATTTCCTCTTTCAGTGATCTCTCTCTCTCTCTCTCTCTCTCTCTGTCTCTCTGTCTGTCTCTCTCCTCTCTCTCTCTCTCTCTCTCTCTCTGTCTCTCTGTCTCTCTGTCTCTCCTCTCTCTCTCTCTTTCTCTCTCTCTCTCTCTCTCTCTCTCTCTCTCTCTCTCTCTCTCTCTGTGTGTGTGTGTGTGTGTGTACATATGTAAAAAAAAATCTCTGTAGTTATTGGGGCCTTAAGCATCTTGTATGTGTTAGTCACTATGCAAAACACCAGAACTTAAAAACAGTAAATAAAATAAGTAAATAAATTAAATAAATAAATAAACCCAAAACACTGGACGGTCTCTCAGGCTGCTATCACTAACAGTCCCACTCAGAATTGAACAGGCTCTGTTGGTGCTTATGTCCTCAATTATTTTTATGAAATCCTGCCGTCTTTACAAACCACATATTATCTGAGGTTTAGTACATTTTGAAACCTACAACAAAAATACTCCACTTTAAGCAATTAGCATCACATAGATTGGTTATTACTGTATGTTTTAAAATGAATGCAAGGCTTTATACAACATCATAATTAAACTCTTTTTTTTTCCCCTTCTGCTCCATGCCGAGTCTATGAGCTTTGACTATATAGAAGTGTTATAAATCAGATAAGCCACCTGCCTGGAAGGAGCATATAAACAAAGTGCTAAAGTGAGGCCTGCTGCTCTGCTAGGTGAACAAGCAGACAGTAAAGCCTGGACTTGCTCATGACGAAGTCTATGCTGACACCCAGCTCTGCCACTTTCCAGCTCAGAGACCTTGAATAAGCACCTTGTTTCCTCCTCTGTGGAGGAGAAATTATGCATTCTCCCCTTTTTGCTTATCGGGTATTACAGGGATGAAAGCGCTGTTTGGGTGTTTGATGCTATCCCATGGTTCTGCATTGTTCAAGTATATGTTCAAGTTTCAGTTTTATCTTCCTTGCTCAGGTGGACGTGATTGTGACCCTGGGAGGACTTGGTGGGCGTTTTGACCAGATCATGGCATCGGTGAACACCCTTTTCCAAGCCCCTCACATCACTCCTGTGCCAATTATAATAATCCAAGGGGAATCTCTCATCTACCTCCTCCAACCGGTGAGTAAACAATAAACCTCATCAGGACTGTGTTCACCAAGCCAGCATTCCTGTAGAATAGGAGAATCCTTTGGCCCGTCACAAATTAGTAAAATGCTCAGAATTTCTGTGGGTTGTTTTTGGTTTTGGTTTTGTTCTGAGGGAAGGGGGAAATAATCTTGCAACTTTTAAATAAATTCCCTAAGAATTAAACTTAGCACTTTCGCATTTTGAGCAGCTGAATATGGATGACACTTGAGAAAACCCTCAAAGGGGAAACACAGGCTTAGCAAATATTTCAGACGGGATCCTCCTGTGTTTTGAGTGTTGTCATTATAATTGGAAACTGGATTTGATTTTTTTCAAAACTATAAAGGGAATCTTTAGCTTTTACTCTTCATAAGTTGCCTGCTTATTAATTTTATGCCCTCAATTGATTTCCTAAAGACGATATCACTCATTTCCAATGGTTTAGCATCAAGAAATCTTCTGCCAGGGTAGTGAACATATAGAACCAAATTCCATGAGCTTGACTGGGGCCTGCAGTTTGACTTACTCTGCATGACAGTTTTTGAGGATAGTGGATCATTCCTTTTTATCTCTCACTGAATTGTGGTATTTACAATTTTGTGTCTACCTCGTCTATGCCATGCCTATCTATGGCATGCCAGCATTGTAAACTGTCCTTTTGCTAATACAGCAGGTCTCAGATAGTATACTTACTTTTGTCAATCAAGGTTGGCTTTGTTTGGTTGGTTTAGGTTGGGTTTTTGCCTCTTTTCATTGCCTAACTTGTTTCCTGCAAATATGTGTAAAGGAAGCAGAATTCTGATTACAGGTCTCTTACCACCTTCTTTGTCAACCAGCAGGCGTGCAGTCCTTGTTGCTTTTCTGTTGCAGTGCATGGCAGTGAGGATGAAGAGAAGTCGCTATATTTGATCTTCACCCTCCAGCTCATGTGCAGTGAAGGAGAGAGTTATAAAACAGAATCATCATTGCATTAGTCAATTTTCTGTTGTAATAAATTCCTGCCATCATAAACTGATAAAAAGAATTACTGCCTCTCGTAGTCTTAGCAGTTTCAAGGCCAGCATCCACAGGCCCCGTACAGTCAGTAGACATTATGGTAGTAACACGTGATGAGATAAAAACCACTCCCCCTTCTGTTTGGGACACATAAGAGAAACAAGAAGGGAGCATTTCTGTGGCCACAGTCCCCGTTCCAGGTCACACCCTCAATGGTGTGGAATCCTCCCTAGAATCCACCTCCACAATCCACGAGACTCTGCTTCCACATTCCCGGCTCTATCCTGGGCATAAAGTTTTGTCACATGGCCTTCTGGAGACACATAGGGTCCAGTGTGTAGTGGTAATGCCATAATGAAAGTTTAGTAGATAAAGATGTTGATCACAGAATAAGGAAGGGTTCACAAAGAGACTGAGGTGACTCCACTCAGCATTTTATGCACTGAGTTCAGCAAGTACTGAGAATACACCTACTGATGAGAAGCTTCTTTTCAGGCAATACAGCAGTCCAAGTCAGGGGGAAATGCTTGCTGCTTTGGGCATTTTACTGAGTTTACGTTTCCACAGACTTTCCAGAGCGAGTCAGTGTTTGCTATGGGAGATGATGGAAAAGTCATTGCAGACAGAAGAACAATAGATGTCTGGGTTGTATCAGAAAGTGGGATGGGAATGTTACCCGCAAAAGTGTTTTAATATCTCTTCCTTTTATGTCCTTCTGGGCTTTCTGAGTCTCTGAATTCCCTCTTACCTATACTGCTGTCTGTCAGCACTTGACAAAACTCCCAACCACTGTTTTCATACATTGTTCTATTGCTTTCTCCATTCTGCAGCCCTCACTGGGTGTGTTGAAGAGTCTCTGATTGTGTCACCGGAATCACTAAGCTTCTCTTTCGTAATGTATGTGTCTCAGCCCCTCCGCACTTCACCCTGAAGCCCTTTGCTTGTTCTCACTTCTCTCCGTTCTTTGCTTCAGCACTGTCTGGCTGCTCAGCCCATCCACTAGGACTCTGATTCCTGCCTCCATCCCACTTTCTCATGTGGCTGCTCTTTGTTCACCTTTGACTCTTAAAACCTAAGTGGTCACACTTCCTTGATATTCTAGAATAAATTCATAGACATCAGACGACTTGGCTTTTTTTCATTTTGTAACTTCACTTCCTTCTGTGGCGTGTGGTTCAAAGCTGTGATTCACATCTCGGAAATCTCCACCCTGAACGGGAATTGTCTGAGCATGGGTTAAAAGAAAGTCTGAGGTAAATATACATTTGCTTTCGTCAACCTCCTGAGTGGACACCTGTCCCTGTTCACAGGACCATTAACAATATGGAACCTTCTATCTGAGGCTCTTTTGTGGCATCCATTAGTGTGACTCATTATTGTAACGCCTCTGGGACTTTGATGTCTGATGATAAAATGTGCCATCTAATGGCCCTCTTCTCAGCTTTGTAGAGGCAAGGTTTGGTTGGGCCATTTTCCCAGCATCCAGTGGGAGTGTTTATATTCATTTTGATACGAAGGCTCTCTGCTTTTTATGGCAGTCCCCCAGACCTTGGGCTATAGCTGATATTCACCGATTTGGAAAGCACTGTCAAGATGAAAGTTAGCTTTGGTCTTTTGAATGGGAACTTGTTTCATTTCTAAGTATTGTTACTTTTCAGCAGATCTGATGCAATTTAAGAGAATCCTTTTAATATTTTTTTTCTGGTAGCACTACTATTTTCTGTGAGATAACAACTACACTGTCTCTCTAAGTCGTCAGTAATAATTAGCCCCAAATCTGACAGATTTTTTGGAACTCAAAGTTTTCTCAAGAATTTAGTATAGTTTGGGCAGCCTTTTTTATTTTGCCTTCTAGACAACTAGACCATGTGGGGCAGGGGGCGGGGATGGGGTGTTGTTATTATGCCAGAGCAATACTCCCATTGTAATGGCCACTGTAGGCAAGAGTGCTAGTAGCCAGGGAACAAGAGCTGTGGGGCCCATGAAGAGAGGGCACCATATAAGCAAAGAACTCTGCCTCCAAATAGCTGCAAGAAACTCCAGTCCTGAGAAGGTTCATCATCCGGCCACACATGATGTGTGAGAGTTTAGCACAGTGTGTCACCTTATGCATGGTAAAGGAGAATTCCAGAGTCTCCCAGCTTGCTAGCCATGCTGTGTTGCTGCATGGCCCATCTCCCCATATACAATACCCTCTATGTTTTCCCTGCACTAATTTTGGCTTGACATCCTTGAAATAATTAGAAAAATCCTTATCTTCAAGAAATAACTATTACGTAGAGCAGGACTCAAAGCTGGTATTGGATCATACCTAATGTCCCTTTGAAGGGGGTCAAGGTCTGGCTCCAGTGCCCATCAGTGGATTCGCATTGCAATCTTTTCACTATATTCTAGGGAGATGTTGTTTTTAGACACCAACTCCAGCCCCCTGTTTTCTACAACATGTTTAGTAAAAGAATGGCAAGAAAATTTTGGTAATACACATTAAAAGGCAGAATGACAGTGTGAGGGCTTTGGTCCCTTAATGGTTCTTTGTAACTCTCATGCACTTAAGCAGTTTTTCTTGTGTTTGTATGTAATGTGAATGACCTACAGATGATCTTGATACTAACGTTTGCTAAAACATTGTATATCTTAGAGATGAACTGAAGTGGTTGGGGTTAAACTGTTTAGATCTGGTGTTGTGTCTGCTATATAAACGTTAACTGGCAAGGACCCTTATAAGCCTTGGGACTAAAGTGTCCTTATTTTGATCTTTTTAAAAGCTTCTGTTTCAAGCAATCATAGGTTCTGTGATGTTCTGTTTCTTTCAGAGAGTGAAACGTAACTAGCTTGTATAAATACGTGGTCTTCTGTGATGGAGTGCGTTGTTTTAGCCATTTGGAGCTGAGCTGTGTGAGGTCATTTGTTGTGTTCCAGTTCACACCCCCTTCCTGTGTCTTCATGTGTATGACATATTATGAGAAATACATGCATTAGAGTATTGCACACACTAGCTGATATGTACATTTAGAGGAATAGGCAGAAGAGGCCCCACAGGATACTGTTCCTTATTACTGGGAATAATGATCATGATCTTAATGAGGAAAGAAACATTGTACATTTTAATTGAAAACAGTTTCAAATAGTGTAGAATTGGGTTTAAGAAAACCAAGACCATTATTCCTTGGCATCAAATGAAGAATGACTTAAGTTGTTTAGATTAATATTAATAGTCCACTCTCAGGTAGAGGGACAATTTTGACGCTTTAAGAGCTTTCACTTAACCTTCATAACTACTGTGAGAAGAGCAAGGCAGATAAATATGGTTACACAGTAAGGGTTCTGACTCAACACTTTTTCCACAGCACTATGTATCCCCTCTCATGGAATTAATGGACTAAGAGAGAAATGACAAGCTCTTAAAACAAGTCATAGCCCATAAGCAGGCAATTATCCATAAGCAATGTGTAACTGAATGGCCAGTTGGTGGATTATTCATTCCTACACAAAACATGCTTACATATGTATATTTTGCATATACATATAAATCCTATCTGATATTGATAATTTTACCTACAACATTGATTTCAAATAACACAAATATTGGATGCACTGTGGTTTATGACAGTGCTAAAGATCAAATCCAGAGCCCATACATGCTAGGCACGCACACCACCACTGGTCCACATCTCCATCGTAATTGTGAGTACATGTTAAGGCTACAATTTTTCCTTGCTACTATAATCCCAAATTAAGAAAGAGTATTTTCTGGATTTTTCTATACCATAATAAAATCTAAATATAACCATAATCTTTATCATATAGACAGATCCAGTGAGATGGCACTGAAATACATTTATATTAAAAAGTAGTAAAAAATCAACATAACTTAATTATGCTGAGCATTAAGTTTGGGAACAGCTGTCTTCTTGAATTTCCTTTACATTTACAGATTGTCTGATATATAAGATAGCTAACAAGAAGAATAAATGAATCATTTGAGAGCTTTTGAT